CTCGCCTGGGGCCTTTGTCCATGCCAATTCCTTGGCCAAGAATGTTCTTTTCTCTGCTCTTTGTCAGGCTAATTTCTTTCCTGTCCTTCATGTTTTTTCCCTTTTATGTCACCTCCCCAGAAAAACTCCCTGACTTCCAGAGTAAAGCCAAAACCCCATGATCTCACTTTGCCTTCATTGTACTTACAATTTCTAATTATGTTATTTTTGAATTTGCTAAATTGCTGTCTTCCTTAATATATTCTAAACCCCCTAGGTCAGGAGCTCTCCCTAGGGCAAGGTGACTTTCTATAATGGATGCTGATGAACTAAATTAAGTGATAATAAAAATGAATGAACAAATAAACACCCCCAGCAGTACACATACATCATATTCTGCTACTTTGATAAATTTGATGTAGAAGATTTGAAAGACCACACGGGTTCAGCAGAGTCCTGGCAGCAGTTTACATGCCAATGAGGGAATTTAATTCATTTGCTACCAATATTTGATAGTAAAATATTTGACATTTTATATCTACAATAAAAAAAATGCACCTCTACTTTAGGAGGCTGGAGGTGGGTGCATCACCTGAGGTCAGGAGTTCGAGACCAGCCTCACCATCACTACTAAAAGCACAAAAATTAGCTAGACATGGTGGTGCATGCCTGTAGTCCCAGCTACTCGGGAGGCTAAGGCAGGAGAATCGCTTGAACCCAGGAGGCAGAAGTTGCAGTGAGCTGAGATAGAGCCATTACACTCCATCGAGAGGCTAGTTTTAAGAAAAAAAAAAAAAAAAAAAAAAAAAAAGGCAGAACTCTTTGCTACTACAAGCTTAGTTTAGTTCAAATTAGATGTGTATTTACTTCTGTATCTCATTTAAAACAACCTTGAAATCTTTGGTTATGGTACACAGGAATTGCTTTCGTTGGGTAATTTCTCTGAGAAGGAATTTTAAGGAAGAGGTAATGGAAAGCAGAGATATTTTTGCAATAAGCCTTATAAAGAAAAAATGCAGAAAAACATTGGATTGCACAATTGCATTGTCCAAAAAGGAAGAAAGGTTTTTTTTGTTTTTTTAAGAGGGATTTTGTTGATGTTAGTAATGGGCGGGGATACAGGAGAAGTTATCTCAGAATCATACAAAAAGTATAGAACATTTGCAGAAAGGAAGGAGGAAAAAAACAATATATAACATATTATAAACTCCGACCTTGAGAAAGGAAGATCCTGGGAAATTTCCAGCAGGTCTTGTCTGGTCAGAAACTACGTGAGTTTGCACATGCCGCATCCTGCATGAAGACGTTGAGTTAAGGTGGTAGGAGGAAACTCCAGTCCAGGCCCTGCTCACTGAGCCCTGGAGGAAGGGTATCTTATTCTCAAGAACACCAAGTTCCTGTGGGTTCTAGTAGAGGCCCTTGGCTACAGTCAACGGAAAAGAATATTACAGCATGTTATTACTAATTTCAGATGTTTCTTTAGAGAACCATCTTCATTGTTTTTAAGATAATACTATTTTTTTACTCCATAGATTTCAGGTTCTTGGGAGGTACTGAGGAGTTAACTTCCAAGGTTGGAGAAAGTGCCCCTTGATCTGCCCTTTCCGTTTATTTGAAAGACTCTCAAATTATGTAATAAAACTTTGTTCATGTTCCTAAAACAGAATGGTCTATAAAAGACAATCAAGATAAGCCAGATACATTTGGGTTTCATCCAAAAATGTTTAGTTTCTGAAACACCAGTTCCTTTGTAAGTGGCCTCACCCTTAAAGGATCTCATAACAAAGCAGAAAAAGTTACTTTGAAGTGTGGCTGTAGTATTTGCTTAATTTAGAGCAGATTCTACTTATAGGGAATCAGAAACTGTATTATATTCCATTGTGATAGTTTCTCCTTGTTTCATACATGTTTATATTACTGTTGAATTATATGTTCTTTAAAGATATATTGGATGAATAATCATTACAGCTAAAATATATTGATAAATTAATAGATGCCTGGCACTGAGCTAAGTGATGGGATTTTTTTTTATATGAAGCAAAGATATACTTTATTATTGATGCAGGAATGTTAAACACTGTGAAAGGTAGGGATAATAAAGTTTAGGTACTTGAGGAGGATAATTTCCGTGTATAGAACCTTGGGATGACAGGCCTTCAGAATTAACTTTTTCAAATAATACACAGATTAGGCACAATGTGGTTATGCTTAGTGCTTTAAACTTTTGAAATTCATTAATTATATAAGGTTGGTGTTATAATTCATGTAAAAGTATGTTCTTTAGAAAATATATTGCACGATCTGGCATATCATTTATGGTCCTGATAAATGATAAAAACTGATACCTTTTATACCACTTTTGAAAAAGTAAGGATTTAATTGCAGTAGTTACTTATATGTTTATATGCACAAACACAGATAGGGTTACACAAATACTTCTCACCATTTCATCATCTACTGATGTCTATCACAAACTACTGCAAAATTTAGTGCCCTACAGCAACAATCATTTTATTGCATTTCACTCTTCTGTGGGTCCGAAATCTGAGCAGGGCTTTGCTGGGTAGTCTCTTTATTCCATGTAGGGTCGATGGAGGTCACTGAAAGATAATCAGCTGGTAGATGGGTTTGTCTGGAGGATTCAGTAAAAAACCAGTGGAATCCAACAGGGGATACTAGAAGGCGGGGCGCAGCTGGCATCATGACCAGAGGATGACCAGAGGCCACATACAAGTGGCCTTTCTAGTATGGCAATTTCAAGCTAGCTGAACTTTTGACATGGGAGCACAGGGCTCCAGAGAAAACATTCCAAGAAGCCCCAGTGGAAAATACAAGTTTCCTTATGGCTTAACTTAGAAAATCCTAGAATATCACTTCTTTCATATTCTATAGTTAAGCAAGTCACTGAGGCCAGCTCCTTCAAGAGTAAGGAACAAGACTACTCAAAGGGAAGACAGCGAAGAACACATGGCCAACTTTAATCTACATACACCTAGACCAACTGATGAAGTATCTGGAACACAACAACTATCCATAGACTCTCTATATCAACAATCAAGGAACGCTTAAGTCTGGATAGACAATGTCTACTTCTGCAACATGTTCTGGTCTTCTGCCCATGGATAATCAATCAAATCTCCAGCTTTGAGCAGTGGATTCCTGTGGTACATGGCTGCCCCACATCTTCTACTAAGCCATTATGACCAAATTTTTTTTTTTTTTTTTTTTTAAAAAGAGTCTCACTCTATCACCCAGGCTGGAGTGCAGTGGCCCGATCTCACTCACCGCAACCTCTACCTCCCAGGTTCAAACCATTCTCACGCCTGAGCCTCTCGAGTAGCTGGGATTCCAGGCACCTGACACTAAACCAGGCTAATTTTTGTTTTTTGTGGAGATGGAGTTTCGCCATGTTGGCTAGGCTGGTCTTGAACTCCTGACCTTAGGTGATCTGCCTGCCTCAGCCTCCCGAAGTGTTGGGATTACAGGCATGAGCCACTGCACCCAGCCAAAAAAGTTTTTGTGCGTCCTGTGTCTATTTTAGTTTCGGAACTTTTCCCAGTCATAGGATCACAGAAGGTCAGAGCTAGAAGGGACCCCAGAAATAGTCCGATTTCATTTTACAGATGAGGAAGTTTAGGTTCATGTGACCTAAAGTCAGAAACTGATGAGTGACAGAGCCACAGCCTAGATCTCCTGTTGCAATGCGCGAAGAGTTTAGGTAATCCTGATTTATCCATGGAATAGGCAGCCTATTTACCCGATTCTTCTCTTAGAGACAGTCCATCTACCATGATTTGCCCTCCTGCTTCATCATGAAGCATTTAAAAAACTATTCATTCCAAGTTCAACAGCTTAATCAAGTATTTAACTCATTTTTTCTCAGTCCATATTTAACAAATGTTTACTGAGCATCCACGAAGTTGACACCACCGTCCCTAGCACCAGCCTCTGCAGCTGAACAAATATAGACACTTTCAGATGGGGGCTGCCTGCAAAGATGCTTTCCTTCTAGTTATAAAGTCAGAAGACACATTTCAGAATAGTCACTTTACTCTAGGTCACATATTTGATTAAGCTACTTTAAGAACCTCTCTAGGCTGGGCACAGTGTCTCACACCTATAATCCCAGCTACTCTGGAGGCTGAGGCAGAAGAATCCCTTGAAACCAGGAGGCGGAGGTTGCAGCAAGACGAGATCATCCGTCTCAGCACTCCAGCTTGGGCAACAGGGAAAGACTCCGTTTCCAAAAAAAAAAAAAAAAAAAAAAAAAAAGTACTTCTGTAACACAGTTTCCTATCCTTCTTTGTTTGCAGAACAGACCAAAAGGCCAAGTCTTCTCCCCTTAGAAACAACCCATCTGTTCAAGGATTCTGAGATTTTTACCTACCAGAGCATCAGTTTGGAATGGGTGTAAGACTATCCACAAGTCAGTGTGATGGTACAGTTGTTACTGTTCCTTGTTTCACCAGACGTTTGCTCATTAGATGAGGTGACTGATAGCTCTGACTTTCTAGACCTCAAGGACTCTAGGTGGCTGCCCTAAGTACAGTCGTGGCAGCTGAGCTTTCCTGTTTACATGGTGCCCGGGCACCAATAGCTTTTGTCTTCTGCGGCAGCTAATGTGTCTTTCTCGTGGGGAAGGGGGAAGGGGGGAGGGGGAAGGGGGGGAGGGGGGAGGGGGGAGGGGGGAGGGGGGAGGGGGGAGGGGGGAGGGGGGAAGGGGGGAGGGGGGAAGGGGGAGGGGGGAAGGGGGAGGGGGACAGGACCCACCTCTGACGGTGACACCTCCTCGACATCACGTCCACGCTGGTTCTCAGCTCCCGGAACTGGGCGGGATCCCTCTTCCCGCTCAGCTGGGAGATGCCCCAGGCGGGCATTCCCAGCTCTGGGCGGCCAGGGTAGCAGCCCACCCCCACCCACTCCGGGGAGCCACAGGGGCCGCAGGAAGGCAGGTGTTCCGGGGAGAAACGTGGAAGTGAGGGGGCACCCAGGGCCGGCGGCGCTTGGTTGGGCGCCGCAGTCGGCTCCCGCCCGTGGGGAGGAGAAGGAGGCGAATGGGCGGGTTCAAGCGCGCGCGGCGGCGGGTCCCGGGGCCGCCGGCTCCTCCCCGCGAGGGTGCCTGTCCGCCGCTCGCCGCGCTGAGGCAGTGCGGGGCGGGCGCGCCTAGGCTGCCGCCCAGCGCCCTCGCCGCGGCCATGCCCGGGCCCTAGCGCGCCTGCCGCAGCCCGCGCCCCGCAGCCCCGCAGCCCCGCGCCCGCCGCCGCCTCTTCAATGGGCAACCTGCTGGGTGGGGTCAGCTTCCGCGAGCCCACCACCGTGGAGGACTGCGACTCCACCTGGCAGACCGACTCGGAGCCCGAGCCTGAGGACCCGGGGCCGGGCGGCGGCAGCGAGGGGCCGGGGCAGGAGCCCGCGCAGCCCCCGGAGCCAGCCAGCAGGCGGCCCAGCGCCAGCCCCGCGCCGGACCAGGACGCCGAGGCGGCGAGCTCCGAGCAGGTACGCGGCCCAGCGGTGGCCTCGGGTCGGATCGGGTCGGGTCGGGTCGGGTCGGGTCAGGTCGCCCCACACAGGGCACCCTCGCACGCGGAGGACAGGGGCACCCGGCGGCTGCTCGCCTCTGAGACCCAGCCCCTCCGCGCCGCGCCTGACCCGCCTGGCGGAGGAGCGCGGGGGCCTGCCGGAGCCACCCACTGTCGGCCTGGGGCCTGGCCGGGGGCACGGCCGGGAAGTCCCTCAGGGCAGAACCCAACTTGAATGGGTGTTTTCTTTGCCTCTGCAGCGCAGCTGGGTTATGCGAAGGTGGGGTGGGAGGAACCTGTCTAAAAATAGAGGATTGTGACAACCCCTCTAGTGAATGTTATTGGGAGAAAAAAAAATTACTCAGAGTAAGATGGGGCTGCAAGAGCAGGCAGCCGGCGCTCTCCCTACAGTGGGGGCTAAGCCGTCGGAAGTGCAGAGGGCCCCAGTCTGAGGTTCGTACGTTGCTGTTCTGCCCAACTCAGGCCTTTCAGTCTAGGATTCAGAGCACTCTTCATGAATCTTATTTCACCAGAAGACTTGTTGATCCAACTGTGCTTTAAGCATTTGACTAATACAGCTTGGAGAGGTTAGTCAAACGATAAATAACCCCCGTAACCTCTGATGGACTGAAAATAATCAGCGACTTTTAAAAGGAGGAAATACATAGCCGACCCTCAGAGGAAGCGTGTACATCCTTGAGGTGGTTCAGGTTTGCCGCTCCGCGTTAGGCCCTTTTCTTTATCAGCTATGGGCAATCGAGATTGAGAAAACGGAATCCAAAGTCCAATGTGACCACAAGGTTTTGGGGGAATCATTACCTCAATATTACAGCTAATGCTGCATCAACCATCTTGATGAACAACTCTGTTTATGATTTGCTCCTTACCTAAATGAAGTTTTAGTGCAGGCTCTGTGCTAAACATGCTATTTAAATGAACTACAATTTGGGGGTGGGAGTTTGCTGTGTGATCCCCATTTTAGAGAAAACTGAGGCTTAGAGAGAAAAGAAAACTTGCCCATCATTGAGGGAGAGGATGATGCAAACCTAAGTCTATCACTAATATCAGAGCCTTGCACTTGTAGAATTGTGAGGTTCCATCTGCCCCTGTGTCTGGTTTGCTGCTGTTGTTTTGCATTGCTAATTCAATCTTATTAAATTATTAGATGCTGCATTCTCATGTTTTGCCTTCCATTTGTCTCCCAGTTAAGTAACCTCCTACAGAAATTTGGGATATCAAAAAACACTAAGATTCAATCCTACTAACCAGGTCCATCTACAGTATATAAAACTTTTTAATAATGTTTCAGTCAGTTAATTGCAACTCCAGTAACTAGTACACTACATCTGCCCTCCCTTTTCCCTTTTAATGATTAATTTGTTAGTATCAACATCTGACTTCCAAAAAAATCTGCTTTTCAATTTTGCCTTTTGACTTTCAACCCCATTTGTTGTCTTTTCCTTAGAGTCAATCTACTTGCAGGTAATACTGGAGCTACTTTTAGAGTGTATCCCAGACTGACTCCTTCACACTGCTTCCATTGCATCATCCTAGTCCCTCTGTGTATTGGACAAATGATGGTGACATTAACAAATACAGAGAAGTCTAGGGTGAATGTAGCTTTAGAGATTAAGTCGAAGATTCTCTTGAGTTTAGTATCCTATTAGACATCCAAGTGGAGTTGGATAGTTAATTATTTGTTGGGTAGTTACATTACATCTATGAAAGGAGACTTAGTCCAGGAACAGAGTCCTCAGTCTCTGAGATCAATGGTATTTAAAGTCATGGGAAGATAAGGGGTTATCAAGGAGTGATGAGGAATGAGGGCCCTGGGAACCCCTCCATTTAAAGGGTATGGAGAGGAGGAGGAGCCAATAAAAAGGAAGCTGACAAGGGGGCGGGGGTGGGGGGGGGCAATGAGACAGGAAATAAACTAAGAAAGTCTAGCATCCTGTAAGCCAAATACTAACAGTGTTTCAGGAAGGAAGGATGCTTTAATTGGCCCAGTGCTGTTGGGAGGTCACCCGAGGTGAACATTAAGAAATGCTTTGGCAAGATGGAGATTTATTGAAGTTCCCAAGAACTATTTTGTTGGAGTGCTGAGGACAAAACCCTGATTGAAGTGGGTCACGGGAAAATGGGGAAATAAGAGGAGACAAAGTCTGGGCAATTTTTTGGTGGTTATCTGTAAGAAGGAGCAGATATATGGATCTGTAATTGAGGACAGACTTGTGTCAAGGAAGGTTTTGTATGTTTAAGATTAGAAATACTACAGCATGTGTAAGATCCAGAAGAGAGGGAAATTTTGATGATCCAGGGAACAGGAACAATATGTTGTTGAACAACAGAATCCTTATTTGAGCAGGTGAAAGAGGTCCGGGTAGAGAGTCCAGAGGGAATAGGGGTTTTAAGAGCAGGAACAGATGCTGGCAAGACACAGTCATTCTTATGATAATCCTGAGAAATAGGTGGGGCATGAGTCATTGTCTTTATTTCACAGATGATAAAACTAAGATTCAGCTAAATGATTTGCTTAAGGCCTCACAAATAGTAAGTAGCAGAGTTAAGATTCCTCGTCTTCTGACTCCAAGTCTTGGGCTACTGCTGCTCCACCAAGGTTCCCATACATCCTTGGTTTTAAGTGTGACTGACATCGATTCAGACCTGTACTTGGAACCCAGAGCCTGGGATTCTTGTTCTTCCACTGTCGCTGGACTCTGGGTGGTGCTCAACTTCTCTAAGCCCCGGTACCTTGTTTCTAAGATGGAAACACTTAACTGTCAGTCAGGTGTGTTTGAATCAAATTAAATAACATACAAGTAAGTGCTTTGTAAATGGAGAGTGCTTTCTATACAAATGTAGGATGATGATTCATATGGTTGTAGCTGAGGCTAAATAGATTCAGAAACTTGCTAGGCAGAGCTATTTTGAAACGTGTGGCAAGGACCAGAAATCAAGCTTTTCCTTGCTTATGTAACATGGCAGTAACTAATGTTAAGCATCAGAAGATTTGGTGTTGAAGTAACTCCGTACTTGTAGTAATAGTGAGAATCACCCACTTCAAAACTGTGTGAAAATTACTTAGAGGATGGCAGTCTGTCAACACAGATAGAGGACAGGGGTTGAGGAGAAAAGAATTTGGGGCCAAGCTTTTAATGACTCTTAAAGGTCTAAAGTTTTTCTTTTTAGTCATTGTTGTCAGCACTTTCTCATACATCGTAATAGTACATATAGGGAATGCAAATCGATTCTATTAACCTGCATCTTACACTTTAAAAATCATTTCATGGTGATAGAAATTTTGCTAGGCTGGGTGTGGTGGCTCACGCCTGTAATCCCAGCACTTTGGGAGGCCAAGGCGGGTGGATCACGAGGTCGAGAGATCGAGACCATCCTGGTCAACATGGTGAAACCCCATCTCTACTAAAAACACTAAAAATTAGCTGGGCATGGTGCTTAGTGCCTGTAGTCCCAGGTACTCGGGAGGCTGAGGCAGGAGAATTGCTTCAATCCAGGAGGCGGAAGTTGCAGTGAGCCGAGATCACGCCATTGCACTCTAGCCTGGGTAACAAGAGCTAAACTCAGTCTCAAAAAAAAAAAAATTTAAATAGTACGAGTAAACTACCACGTAAGTTATTTCAACTGGACATCATTCCATTTGAGCATTTTATTGCTTGGTGTGTATATATTTTAAATGTTTATATCACATGATTATTCATGCCTTTGTGTATTTGTCATGGTGTTATAAAGGATGGGGTTTAGAAAGCTAGTTTTGAAATCCTTTCTTTTCATAAATATTACTTGACTTTCAAGTACAGCTAAATGTTGCAAATGTAATGACAATTTTCTTTGTAGTACTGATTTAGTATCTTAACACATTCTTAGTATTTTGTAAAATGTTCTAAAATTAAGTTTTATCATAGAATTGCTTGCACAATCATTTGGTAAATGTCTTGAATTCCTTTTAGAGTTCTCTTTCTGATGGATATTGATCCACAACATTGGCCTCTATAGGTTGTCGGTTAATAATAAAGTGGTTTATTCAGTAATATATCTTAGGACAAATGTTGGTTCAAATAAGCAAAATAGGATGCTATTACTAGTAAGCGTTATTAAAGGAACACTTATAATATTTTCATCAATTTGGACAGATTGACCATTTTCAGGCTTTCTTTATGGATCTTCATTATTTTGTTTGTTCTAGAAATTTCTTCCTCAAATTGTCTTGCATCAACATGTAAATGGAGTTTCACTTTTTATTTCAGGGTGATGATTCCACTGAAGCAACGGCCAAACCAAAGAGAAGTTTTTATGCTGCGAGGGATTTGTACAAGTACCGACACCAGTACCCAGTAAGAGTATAGAATATTATTTTCTAAAATGTAAACTATTTTCCTTCTGTTTTTAAGTGTATGGTGCCACTGAGTAAACATGCATGAAGGGTCCTTATACCTTTACTATATTTCTATGTTCTGGAGATTGATTTGTTTTTTTCTTTAGCAGAACTTCAAAGATATCCGATATCAGAATGATTTGAGCAATCTTCGTTTTTATAAGAATAAAATTCCATTCAAGCCAGATGGTGAGTAACATATACTTGATAAATTGCAATAATCACATACTTGGTTTATTTTGTGGTTTATTTCATTGATTGGATTTACTTTGCTCTGCAGTCTAATATGTCCCCCATGTACTAGGTCATAGGTCTGTGAGCATGCACTTGGTAAATTCTGGAAGAGCTACGGATTAATCATACCTTCCCACCACCTGTTTACATTGCCATTATCTGAAAGACAGTAGGGACAATCTTTGTCAAAGGAAAAGAGGAGATATATAGAACCATAGAATTTTAGGTTATTAAGGAACATTGGAGAAGATCAAATTTAGCTTTCTCATCTCAAAAATTAGGTCAGAAGGACTTAAATCTTAGGTGACTGACTTGCTTGTCACTCAATTGCAGGTTCCAAAGTCCACTGTTCTTTCCATTGTGCCATAGCTGAAAATTGAGACTGTGATTGTAAAGTGCTGTTTGTATTTAGAATTATCTTTCCTGTCGGTTTTCAGATTCAGGTTATCCGTCATCTGTAGCAATCCCTGTTTGAAGTTCCAATATTATGGGAAAGGAATGGCAGATACAGTAGATCTCCGTCCAACTCTGCCAAATACACTTGTTTCCTTCCCAAACTGTGATTGCCCTCATAAGATCTTTTCCAAACCCATAGCGAGAAGATGCAGCTGCTATGATAATAGACCACAACATCACATATTTCACTGAGGCATCATGCTGTGGTTCATGGTCGTCATCCTAATTTTATCCAGGTCACTCCCGCAAAGCTGGCTTCTCTCCCAAGAGCTTTCTTCTGTGAAGTGGTCAGACTACCCTGGCTTCTGCTATTTGCTCTCAGTGGAAACTGAGCCAGTTTCATAGCAATGTGAGTCATGAAATGAAGGTGATAGATTGCAAGGCCTTTAAGTGGCAGGACCTTGCATTCTTTGGTCAACCAACTCGAGGCAAGAGGTCTAAAGCCTGGATGGAGTTTGGGCAGAGGGAGTCCCAGTAATGTGTACTGACAGACCTACCAGTTGGGAGTTAATATTTGAGAACATTGCTGGTATGACCAGATCTATTTGTCTTCGACTTTCTGGTGTCTCAAAAGTCTGCTGTGATTTGGAGGGAAACCTCTGGATAATATTGTACAGTTGTATTTACTAATGATAGAAATGTGCCGCTTTATTTACCAATGGAAAAGTATCGATTAAATTACTCATTTTCTTAGGACTTGGGGTAGGAAAATCTCTGGAAGAAATGCAATGATTGTTGATTTGAGTCTGATGTAAACTGCATACAATTTACTGAAAAGAATACCTTTAATTATTAGAAAATGTTGAACATAAAACTAATATTTAACTATTTTTGTATCTACTAGGGAATTTATTTTTAAGCTAATATTTTTGGTAATCTTTATTACAGAGTTTGTTTTGAAATATTTTATGATTGGTGGGGGTCAGAAGTTTTAAAGTCACATAGAATGTTATTCTAGTTTATAAATTATATCGACTCACTTTCCTCCCTAGTACGTACACACACACACACACACTACTTGCAGTAATCATCTTGCAATGGTATATTTTACTTATCAGGCAAGAGAAGTGGTAGTTGGGAAGGAAAACAAATAGAAAATTAGAGGAAAATGGTTTCAACCTGCCAATAAAGCCAACAATATGATTCAAAACAACTTTTTACCAAATCTTTTCAGAGTGGGCCTCTACTGTAAACTGGTGATCTCTGGAGGAAACAAGAATGAGACGAGTTATGTTTGGAGAAATATTATATTGCTGTGTTTTTTCTATAAGATTGACTAAATGGCTAGTCAATTGTAAAGACCTTGACAGACTTAGGACCTAGGAGGATTTTGTTTTTGAGAGTTCTTGTAGGGGAAGAATGGATGGGGTGAAAGGGCTTACCTCTTAGAACCAGAAAAACCTATGTTCTACTCCAAGATTTACTTTAATAGTGTGTGACTTTGAACAAATTGCCCAGTTTCTTCGTTATTAACATTAGGATCATAACACTGGGAGCCTTCTGTGAAGACTAAGCTTGATAATGTACACGCTGTGTAATATGGGCACAGCACATAGTAAGCACTTACAACTTTTTCTATACTTTTCTCCCTTTCCTTCTCCTTTGTTTTCTCCTCATTTCCTTTCTTCCCCTTCTACTCCTGTCTTTCTTTTCCCCTAGGATACATTTCATTTGGATCCAAACTAGCCTTTAAAGAGCTATATAACTCCTAGGCAGGGATTGGCAGACTTTTTCTATATAGGGGCAAATAGTAAATATGTTAGGCTTTGGGGGACATTGGGTCTATATTGCAACTATGCATCTCTGCTATTGGCCACAGACAGGACTTAATTGTGAACGGCTATATTTCAATACAACTATTTACAAAACAGCTAGCAGGCCACAGTTTGCCGACTCCCGTTTTTGAGTACATTGCCCAACAGAGCCTTCTGCAATTTGAAGTGCCTTTTTAAAATTAGATTTATTATATAACTGAGTATATGGGTGTAGGGTATTCATCTTTTAAAAGCCTTTTTCTTGTTTAAATTTAATAGTAGCACACAAGTTTTAATATAAAACTCAAGTGATTCGAATTTTAAAATGTCTTCACAATGTTTTAAATGTCTGGTTTATTTTTAAATATTTACCATTTAGGTGTTTACATTGAAGAAGTTCTAAATAAATGGAAAGGAGATTATGAAAAACTGGAGCACAACCACACTTACATTCAATGGTCAGTTACATATTATCTATCTTGAACCATGTCCTATTGAATCATTTGTTTTCCAGACATTAATAGAAAAAAAATTTTTTTTTAAAATAGGCTTTTCCCCCTGAGAGAACAAGGATTGAACTTTTATGCTAAAGAACTAACTACATATGAAATTGAGGTAATGCAAGTTCATTTCATTTTATACAAGGTGGCCAAATACTGATGTTTTACTGTCCTTGTAGCTACTGCATCATTTCAGCTGACTTTTTTTTCCCCCATTTTTTACATTAGGAATTCAAAAAAACAAAAGAAGCAATTAGAAGATTCCTTCTGGCTTATAAAATGATGCTAGAATTTTTTGGAATAAAACTGACAGATAAAATTGGAAATGTTGCTCGGGCTGTTAACTGGCAGGAAAGATTTCAGCATCTGAATGAGTAAGTAAAGCCCCTGTGATAAATCAGGGGGCCAGCACAATTGTTTTCCCTTGGTCAGACTTTTCTATGAAACGTAGGAACATCTAGCACCTGAGATGGGCCCAGGAATTTGGATTCAAAAGCTAGTCTGAAATGCATTACATTCCTGTACGCTATTCTAGAAAACAAAACAAAACACAGCAAAAAGGAGCAAAATTCTAGGTAGAAACACAGCTATTCAGCTTCAGATCTGTTTCTCCCCGAAATCTTGCTACTGCCCACAGCCAAATATTGCCTCTCTCTCTTATGCCACATTTTTATAGTTTATTGTTATTGCTTGTGTACAATTTTGTGTATCCCTTCTTGTAGGCTATAAGCTTTTTGGGGCACAACCTGTTTCTAAGCATAATGCTTTCTTAAGTTCGTGAATTAAGCCCATGATGTGTGAAAATCATTTTACAAGAATGAGATGGGCCAGTACTTTTTCCTAAAACAAAGTTACACTTGTCTTTTCACCGTTAGATTAAAAACTCATTTTTGGTTAAACTTTTCTTAAGTTTTGCAATTTGTTACCAGTTTATTTGGAATTCTTTTGCTGTATACATTTGCTTGGATGTTTATAACTTTTATTATTACTCATAACCAAAGTTTATTTGTCTTAATATTTTCTTCATGTGCAAACTGTCCATTTTCATTTTAATTATATTTAAATTTTAACTAATTACAGTTACATTTAAACTAATTATAGTTTAATTATTTATCAGTGCTGCCCTATGTAGCCACCAGCTTTAACGTACTTTTAAGCGTATTATATAATTAGCTAAACTGAGAAAGTACTGAGAACAAAAAAATTATAACCTAAGCAATTTTTCTTTGGCCACAACAATCTGAGTTTTGTGCATCAGTTAACTAATTTTTCTGTGTTTTTATAGATTGCTTTGGTAAAATGGGTATGAATATTAATGTTAAGCTTTTTTATTACTTATAATCAATGCTATTAAAATGGTAGTTTGTACTAATACACTAAACATATGGGCATAAAGTTTATATTCCTGACTAGAAGACCCATTAACTCATAACTCAAGTTAAATTTGACTTATGCTTTAAGTGTCCTATTTATATGAAGTATATATACCTCTACCCAAGCAATGCAGGTAGCTCTAGGCAGTTTCTAAGCACTTATGTAACACTGTGAAAGAACTGTATGCGGGCAGCTTGTTGACATGAAAGACAGCAAAAGGAAAAGTAAATCTTTTGAAAGGATTTGATAGTTAAGTACATGAAAGATAAGGTACTATCATTTTAGAGACTCACCTCAAGCTTGTTATTTTTGATTGGAATAGGAATCTTGCATAGTAAATTTTTGTGGCATGAATAAGTGATCAACAAAATATGGTCTTCAGCTTGAATCTGAGTTTTTTTGTCATATCATCTGATTTATAGGTGGAAAGTTTTTTTTTGTTTTGAGACGGAATCTCTCTCTGTCTTCTAGGCTGGAGTGCAGTAGTGCAATCTTGGCTCACTGTAACCTCCGCCTCCCGGGTTTAAGCAATTCTCCTGCCTCAGCCCCCTCAGTAACCAGGATTACAGGTGCCCGCCACTACGCCTGGCTAATTTTTGTATTTTTAGTAGAGACGGGGCTTTACCATGTTAGTCAGTGTGGTCTCAAACTCTTGACCGCAGGCGATCCGCCTGCCTCAGCCTCCCAAAGTGCTGGGATTACAGGCATGAGCCACTGCACTGCCACAGTCTCTTTTTAAGACTGTAATTAAACAGTTTCCAGGCTTGAGGCAGGGGAGAGTGTCTGAACTAACAGTCACTTCTTACTCCTCTGCCCCATCCTTTCTCTCTACCACCTATGCCAGGCGTCCCCAAACTTTTTACATAGGGGGCCAGTTCACTGTCCCTCAGACCGTTGGAGGGCTGCCACATACTGTGCTCCTCTCACTGACCACCAATGAAAGAGGTGCCCCCTTCCTGAAGTACGGCAGGGGCCCGGATAAATGGCCTCAGGGTGCCGCATGCCACCCGCGGGCCGGGCCGTAGTTTGGGGACGCCCGACCTATACCCTTTTTCCTTTATGTATTGCATAGGCTTTTCCAGCTGTGAATTAACTGTCTTAGAATCTGCCAGAAAACCCATTTCTTCTCTAGTTTCATTGCAAAAAAAAAAAAAAAAAAAGACTAGATTTGAACAAATGATAGAATAGACGTTTTCATAGAATCCTCTATTTTCTTCAGTTTAGTCCTTTTCTGACTTATTCTCAAATATCGTAACTTATTTGTATTTTAATGTGTATAGCATCTTGAGTAGTTTAGAGTAGTTAGGGAACTCAGTATATTATAGTAGCTAAGCAGAGGAAAAGTATTGAATTAAAGTGAAGTAACATTGACTGAAAAGTGACCTTGACTAAAGAAGGCAAAATAGTTTCAAACATGAGAATACAAATATATGGACCACCACTAAGATGTGTTTTCAATTTTGTTTGTAATCAACTTGCATTACTGAGCCATATTTAAACCCTGGGATGCCCTCTAACTTATTTTCTGTTTCCTGGTTCTCACCTTGTATGTCTTTCTTTACCTACCTACCTAGTCTTCCTGCAATTTCAACACTATTTGCTGCTCTTAACCTGTCTGGAAACCCAGCTTCTTTCTTTGGCCTATTATACAACCCTAAGATGGTTTATACACTGTAAGGGTTTCAGCCACTCTTCTCTGTACCCTTTAGTCTTCTTCTATACCATTTGTGACATTACAAATCACACTGCCACACCCAGTTGCTTGATTTTATAGTTTTGTTCCAGGATCCTCATCATTTTTTAACCCAAGTTTGTCCTTTTATACTGTTGTGTAAATATTTTTAATTGGAGAATACATAGATAGAGTAAATAGGTACAGAAACTAACTTGAGCATTCATCTAGGATTGGCTATATGAAACTGAGCTGGTTGCAGATATAGTAAATTTTGTTTAGTCATAGAGTTTTTAAAAAATTAAAAATCTAGCTTTCTATACATCTTTTTCTGATAGACATATGAAGCAGATATTGCCCAAGGGTTTTGTCACTAGGTTTTTAGAGTATGCAAACTCCATAGAAATGTTAACAAGTAAGTTGCTCCTGCTGTTAGTGACAGATTGTCTTAATTTTACCCAAATTTACATTGTCTCAAGTGTTACTTCCTATTTAAAAATACAGATGTATAAAACTGAGACATGTGCGCTATAATTTTACCCTCTGGGCTTCAGAGTTGAATGTTAAGACAATAATTTAGTAAACATCAGAAGATGGAAGATGATGAACTGTTGGGCTTAGCTTTTCCAGTGTTTGGTTAGGGTGAATCATTAAGGTTTTTGTTTTGTCCAAAGAAACTTTCTCATCGAAATGTAGGACCACAGAACCTTACCCTCTCGTCCCTTAATTCATCACCGTCTTCCTTCCTCCTTCAAGTAATTTGCTAATTATTACTAAGTAAAATCTTTAAGCATTTTTGGAAGCTAGGACAGATATCTAATGTTTGTAGAAAGTTCCGTGTCTGAGGTATGAAGTGGGCTTTAGGAAGTTAAGTGATGGTTATGGTTATGTGGCAATACTGGGTAAATACCTGGGCTGTTGAGAACACCTATGATTAATACATGTAGCTCATTATTCTTTTAGAATTTGTCCAGGCATGTGTAATAAAGATGGAGCTGAGTGAAGTTGGAAAGTTATATCATGAATTGTGACAAAATAGATTTGGAAAATATTCATCCAGTAATGGCATTAGTTTTGAAATAGAGAGGAAAGATGTTAGTGTAATCTGAAGAAAAATGTACCCTTGGAATCAAGGCCATTAGAAATAAGATTTAAAATTATCAGATAGGGAAAGAGGAGGAGAGAATGACCAGGGTTTGAAGAAAATTGGGTTAAGTTGGGATACGTACAAATACGGTGGTCCTTAATACCCTATCTTTAAGTAACACTAATAGTTTTAAAAAGTATCTAGTACTTACTAGGTTCTAGATACTCAGCATATGTATCATCTCATTTGATTCTTGTAACAGTCCAGTAAGTTGCGGGTCATTTTCCCCATCTTACCAATGAGGATACTGAGATTTAGAGAAACATAGTTTCACTTAGCTGCCAAGTTACAGAGCCAGGGTATGAATTCAGGTTAGACTCCGAAGCCCATGTTCTTAACTATGCTCTGCTAAATGTGTCAGTTTTGTATCCTTCATCAGAACCGTTTTAGCAAAGTAGAGCGTTTCCTGTTGCTGTCCTTGTCAGTGGCTTATGTGGTGGATTTTGCTGGTCAGCTGTTAGCTAATGTGTTTATGTTTAGCAATGGTTACCTGTGATGAGTACAGTACATTGATGTTGGTACAAATAAATGCTGTGTTAGATCATTCATCTTCAGTGTATTTTCAGTAATCAACAATTCAACAGTGGTAATAAGTTTAAACCTAAGTATTTTTCTAATATGAAGAACAATAGGCAAGGGAAGTTTATTTTACACATTTGACTTTCACATAGATTGACATTACATTGTGGCATAAGGCTTTAATATCTACTGGCTTGTTCTTAATGAGATCTAATATGGCTTTAAAAAGTCATTACATGGCGTATTTCCATAGCTTATATTTCCATAAAAAATATTTTCCCACTAGTTTTCGTTCTCCTGCTTTCCTACACTGGATATCCCCCACTCATTTTATTCCATCTTCTCTTCCAGGTCCCAGCACAACTACTTAAGAATCACTCGTATTCTTAAAAGCCTTGGTGAGCTTGGATATGAAAGTTTTAAATCTCCTCTTGTAAAATTTATTCTTCATGAAGCTCTTGTGGAAAATACTATTCCCAATATTAAGCAGAGTGCTCTAGAGTATTTTGTTTATACAATTAGAGACAGAAGAGAAAGGAGAAAGCTCCTGCGGTTTGCCCAGAAACACTACACGCCTTCAGAGAACTTTATCTGGGGACCTCCTAGAAAAGAACAGTTAGAGGGAAGCAAAGCCCAGAAAATGTCTTCCCCTCTTGCCTCCAGTCATAACAGTCAAACTTCTATGCACAAAAAAGCCAAGGACTCCAAAAGTTCCTCCTCAGCTGTTCATTTAAATAGCAAAACAGCTGAAGAAAAAAAAGTGGCACCAAAAGAGCCTGTGGAACAGACAGACAGGACCAGCCCGGAGCCCAGCAATGAAGCTGCCAAGCCAAGTAATACAGAGGACAGTAATGCAGGGAGTGTGAATTCTCAACCTGAAAAAACAGTTATGAATCCCACAGAAAAAAAGGAGAGTGCATCTCCTGAAAATAACGAAGAAGGTGAAAACCATAACCAAGACGGTGAAAGTCCTGGAAATACAAATTGCCATGAGGTGGTACTAGTACAGTGAATCAGAAAACCCATAAGCCAGTTTAGGTTAGAGAGGAAAATAACGACTGTATCGTTTATCCTAAAGAACAGACAAGGTCACATTTCAAATTTTAGCCATCTGTGATTTCTGTCATAAGCATTTTATTGTTGCGTTTTCATTTTGGATGACAGCGAATTGAATATCTAGTAAGGAGATAAAAGACAAGACCCAATATATTCTGTAATGCATTTAGGATGTAAATTTTCAAGTTCTGTGTATACTAGTTACTTTGAAAACTATTTTCAGAATATCTAGAAATTGCCATGTAGTATTTTGTATACAAAATATATTCTTTTGAGAGCCTACGTGAAAGAAAACCAGGAGGATAATTTCATTGGATTGCCACAGCTTTACCCAATTTATGGCTTTTTTTTTTTTTTTTTTTGGAGACAAAGTCTTGCTCTGTCACCTAGGCTGGAGTGCAGTGCTGCTATCTCAGGCCATTGTAACCTCCACCTCCCGGGTTCGAGCGATTTTCCTCCCTCAGCCTCCTGAGTAGCTGGGACTACAGACGCATACCACCATGCCTGGCTAATTTTTATATTTTTAGTAGAGACGGGGTTTCACAGTGTTGGTCAGTCTGGTCTCCAACTTATGACATGTGATCCACCTGACTTGGCCTCCCAAAGTGCTAGGATTACAGGTGTGAGCCACTGTGCCTGGCCAATTATTACTGTTATTACTTTTAACGAAGAGTTTGATCTTTGCAAATGTATTCAGAAACTAACTTGGATTCTTTGATTCCAGCACCTCAATGTGTTTATTTTTAGATTCTGATAAGTGAAACAGATGGCCTTGTGGAGCTCTGACCTCCCTAGCTCATCTGTCAGTCCCGCTGTCCTCACCTCCTTGCCTCTTACCATGCTTACCCTTGAGCTGCAATCTTTGTCAGCTAGCATTTGTGTTTCTAGTGTAATTGGCTGTACCCTATCAGAGGTCCAGCATCTGTGGATTCAACCAACTGCAGAATGAAGATATTTGGGGGAAAAATTGATGTTTACATCTCTACTGCATATGTAGAAATGTAACCCTTTTTTTTGGTCACTATTCCCTGAACAATGCAGTATATTGTCTTTTTTTGTCATTATTCCACAAACAATGCAGTATAACAACTATTGACATTATACTAGGTATTTTATAATTAATCTAGAAATGATTTAATTTAAGGGACTTGAGCATTCCTAGATTTTGGTAACTTCAGAGAGTCCTGGAACCAACCCCCACATAGATATGAAGGGACAACTGTATACATTAGGATGATCTATATGGAAATCTACATGGAACAGAGTATGACTTCTAATTGTATGACTTCAAGATTTTGCTTTAGTAAAATTGTTTTCAGTATAAACTGCTTAACAAATTTTGATTGAAAAGTTCCAGGAAAAAATCTTAACTCTTTGGCTGTTCCATATACATTTGTTGGTTGATTCTGAATGTAAATGACTGAAGAATTAAAAAACAAGAAATTATTCATTTCTAAAAGGCACGCTTCTTGCACTGTGAACAAGACAGTCCCTTAAACCATGAATATGTCAGTGTTCTATGGATTATGAAATTAGTAATGTTGCTTAGTCCTAATGTGCATTTTTTTTAAAAGAAGTATAGTTTTGTGCATCTCCAAGTTCTCAAACTTCAAATTGAGAACAAATTTCAAAGTCCATATATGCAGCTCTAGTAAGCACTTAATATGTTACATAGCACTGGCTAAGAAACATTTTGTTTTCTCTATTACTATTACAAATCAAAAAACACTGTGATAAGAACTTCAAAGCATACATACAAATATAGTTAAAGCAATGCATAGATGAAAGATTTCTACTTTATTTCATTTAGAAAGGAATTAACTGTTTTCAGCTTTTAAGAAAAGTTCTATTTAATTCCCTAGAGAATTTGTAACATGTCCAACTTTCATATCACTTATCATTTTCTGTTGCTTCTATTGAGCCACGTTTTCTGCAGTGGATTTCTTAATAATCACACTTATAGCATGTCTCTAGAAATATGGTTTGACTGTTTTGAAGTTTACATGGAACATACCAGTTGCTTAATTTTTATATAAAAAATATGATTTATATGAATCTCAGTAGCACTTTCGTTGTATATCATATTCCAATTACTATGGAACACTTTCTCATTTTTACTCCCATAATATGCCAGTTTTTGCTTTCTGGTGTTTTGTGAGTATTAGGGTTTGGCAAGCTGCATTTTCATTTCAGTTTGCATTTTACATGCAAGAAAAACATGGACCCTCTTATATGGTGCTTGTTATAGCAGTGCCTCCATAGAGCTCAGTAAATAGTTTTACAAGGTTTAGAGGATGAGAGAAGACTGTCAAATTAGCCAAATTGTAGAAACACAAATAATTTAATTCCAAGTTAACTTAGCAATTTTGTATCCAGGATAAAGTGTTCAAACCACTTTCTAAATTAATACTAAAAGATTGTGACCAGATATTACAATATTAATAAAGTTAGCAGATACTAAAACCAATGAATGTAATCCGAGTGACTTAGAAATTGTAGTATGTTAGAGCCCTTATGACAAGAAATGTTTCATTTAGCAATTTAACTTTTCGAATATTATTCCTACTTAGGATTTTGATTAGACCGTTAAATGAGAATATTTAAGTCTCAAGGGGAAAACTTCCTGGCATCCATCTTAAATAGTGGCGTTTTCCCACTATGGTGTTTTTAAATGCATATTCATAGGTAACAGTGTGTTCCTTATATTTCATCTGTAAATAATTTAATCATTCAATGGAGAACAAGGATATCATTCCTTTTGCAGATAAAAATTGAGTGTCTAGAAATATTTTCTATTAATGCTTTGTATATTAGTTTTAAAAATAAGATATACATGTATTTCTGTGTGTCTTATATATGAAACAGTTCTCTGGGTTTGACTATGTTTTGTATTTTTAAAAACTATCGTGCTTGCAGAAATTTAAAGAGGCTCTTACAAAAAATGCAGTGAAGCATGACCAAATAGCTAGAAGTATTACTGAATCTTTACAAATATATAGTCTTGATTGTCGTACTATGGAGTGCAAGGATACTAAATACTGGCTATTGATAAAATATGAACTTGTATTTCATGGCAAATAGATGTTATATCGCTTGATTAGTCTAGAACATTTCTAATATTTTGTGCTTTCGTATATCAAAGGAGATTATGTGAAACTATTTTGAGATACTGTAAAATGACACGTAGTTATAAGATATATTTCTGTAAAGAGTTTATAACATATAACATGAATATACCACTATACATTTTCATACTCAATCTCACAAATTCAAAATAATGATAAGCATATTTTCACATTAAATCAAGTCTAGTTGTCAGCTCAAAAATTATGTTGTATAGTTTTGAGTTTAGGTTTTGGGACTACTTTTTTCCAGCTTCAGTGAGTAAATAAGATCTACAACTCAGGAGTTACTAGGGAAGTTCAAGTATTTTTTTGCCAAGTATTAAAAATATAAACATGAAAATGCCATGATGCCTGTCAGTCATTGTTTCCTATTTTGTCAGATAAAATTACCCTGCTTCTAGCTTTTATACTTTAATCTGAGTGAAAGTATGATCTGGTGAAAAGGAAAAACAGCAGTGTTACATTCAAGTTACTCTTTGAAAAATCACAGTAGTAAATGAACCTCAACATTGAGTGGTCAAAAATTGTTTAACTAATGGGGGGGATAGTATTTTGTTAATTATTTTAATATTAAATTTTTAAGTTATGGAGTTATGGTTGAGTATTCATCCCTACTGGGTAATGAAACTTTTTAAACGATAATTGAGACTCTTCTAAAGCTTTATTTTCTAATGTAAGATACTAAGGATATTCTTGATCTTGCTTGATTGTAACTGGATCTACAGGTTTTTAATGTCTGTTTAGGGTGAGTGGTGATCCTCTGTTGTAGGAATGTTTTTGAAGAATTCTTATTTTGTTTTCCACTTAGGAAATTGCCCTCTCTCATTTGGGGTTTATGTGTTAAACATAAGGTAGGTTGTATTTAGACATGCTAGAATCATTAGAAGTAGGTGAAGTTGTAGAGAAAAATGGCCTGGGTCAATGTAGGATCTAGAAAATTAGGAGTGTACATTTGTTGTTTTTTTAAATTATGTACTGTTTATTACTGGAACAGATTTGTGTGGGTAATCTCTAGGGTAACAGTGAGTACTACCCTGCTCCTTCTGCATTCTAGTTATCCAACCCACCCAGCAGACTGTGTTCAGAGACAATGTTTTTAGAAATCCCTATTACTGAAATAATATAGCTATAAATATGAATGTCTGGAGGTATCCAGATGTGCCTTACCAAATAAATGATTTTCATTCAGCATTTTTCATTTTTACTCCATTATAAAATTTCATCATTGGGAACTTTCCAAACCATGAGTATCAGTTCTTTTGATGGAATTTGGAGACATTGCTATTTGGGACAATAGCATCAGTTCATAAAGAAGTGTATTCACCATGTTACATTTATTTATGCTTTTTGTAGTTTAGTTACATACTATAAATTTTCCTTTTAAACATTCCTTAGTTACTGCAAGTAATATTTGTTTTGCTGCTTCTCAGATGTAGATGAAGAAATTGAATTATAAAGAAATTATTAAAAGTTTAATTCCAGCAGACAGTTGGAGAAGTCAAGCTAATCTGAAGAACTTATGTTGTCATCACATTACAATCATTTTAAAAGCATTATTCTTGCATTTTTCCTAGGTTAGAGTGTTGTCTTTTTCCTATTCTGTTGTGAAGTTTGTTTCAATTATTTGAGGGAAATAACTTTAGTGTGTTTATTTTCCTGAATTAAAGTTTTCACATAGAAAATACAATTAGATGTTTTGTGTTGTGACACAAACTCTGGCTGGAAGTAGAGTTCAGAGAGGGAGAAGGGACAGGAATCACTGTGGGCGTCTCAGGAAAGTGGCACCAGTGCTGGGCTCCACCCTTCTCCCTTGGCATGATGGGTCCTCAGATCCTCCTCTGGATAATGAGGGTGAAAAGGTCTAACTTCTGGGGAGGAAGAACCATCTTGGACTCCATACACAATTTTGATGGGTATCAGTTCTCATAATATCTGCTGTAATTTCTTTTGTAGTTATTTAGAAACTTGTAAGCAATTGGGTACTAGTAAATTATAGTCATATCTTAATAATGATCTCAGGAAACATTGAAATATGAGTTTTCTC